CTCCCAGGGAAAGTCTCACTCTTAGGCCCTACCTCAACAAAGGGTGCCTTTTAGTCCTTACAACTTAGATCCTGTTCTTTGGGGTTCTATGCATTCAAGTTTGAGTTGGAGACGTGGTGCAGGCTCGGATCCATCGGATTTTGACACGCTGACTTACCCTGAGGCTTTCTCGAGGGCTTGGGTGCAGTCAACACTGCTCCGCCGGCGGGGCTGGACCTCTCCGCACTCACAGCACTGGGCCCCTCGCCTGGCGATGGCGCCTCGCGCTGCCCAGGCGGGCGCCCGAGGAGTGCGGCCCATGCTGTCGGGCGGCNNCGTGGTGGCAGTGGCAAAGCCGAAGACGCTGAGATGTTTTGTCTAGGAACTTCTATGTATTATATGAGTCTATACTTTCAAGACTTGCCTCTGCGAGCTAATTACTGTCCCAGTTAGACCGTTAGACCCGAGTGCAGCAAGACTGGCTCTCCCGAGAAGCCTGGCGGTTGCTCGTGCGCCGTACTTGTTGCAGATTCAATTCCCAAGCGACGCCATCTTAACCATGCTTCAATGGCAATGCCATGAAAACAGCCATGCTCAAGGNNNCGCCACCGCCACTGCCACCACTCTACCATCAGCTTCACCACCACCCCTGTCACAACCACAGCCATCTGCACCAGTCATCGTCGAGGCTCTCGATCATAATTGTGGCCAGACCATTGCAGGAACGACCCTTCACATCCTGGCTAGACGACGCACCACGCAACGTTCATGACAACTACACATGACAGGTCCACAGGTGCTGGAAGCCAAACCTCTGAAAGACAAAAACGGCGGAAGATGCGCCGCGGAATGCCGAGGACCTACGATCCAGGTCATCGGGGTGAAGTTAAGGATTCTGATTTCTAGAAAACCAGACAACCGCGTAAACTTCCTTTTTGAAAAAAAGCCCTTGTACGAGGAATGTTGCTTGCCTTTATTTTGCGTTCGAATTCTCATGGCTCGTGGACCGCGTCTTCTGCGACATCCTCCTGGCGCTCCCGTGGCGACCTTGGGCTGACCCTCATCACCTGGAGCCAGTGAAGGGGAGTCTCGGCTTAGAGAAAACGGCCAAAAAGTCCTGCTGGGCCAAGGGTTCCGAGGCCTGGAAATTTCCGAAGGAGGAACTGAAGGAACCGCCAAAGACTGTTTTTGAGGCAACGGGTCATGGAAGGTACTTTACGGGAGTTTGCCCACCTCCCGCAAGAGCCGGAGGTCGTTCGGGTCGATTTTGCCGGACATGCCCTCAGGTGGGTTGTCGTAGTCGAACTCCTAAGCCGAGGAAAGCGAGTAAAGGCTCAAAGGGTTGGGGTGTAGGCTTCCCTTGGTTACTCAATCGGCTTGTGGAATCCATACCCATTCTCATACATCTCATTCTCATTGATGGCACCGCTGGGATCTGATCCAGTACGCAGGCTACGACGCATTCAGTAAGCCCATCTATATCAAACATAGCCTCGCCTTGCGATGCAGCGGCGCCATTCGGGCTGCAACAATGTTCACCGGGTTTCGTTGCATCATCTTGGGCCAACTCCAAACCCATGACGCTTTCGCATGATATGGGACTAACCGCCATGTCCGGAGGTCTGATATGTCTGATGGGATATCGGCCTCCTTAATGTCCGTTGGGGCGTGGTTCACATCCTGGCCAAGACTGTGCTAAGACTCTGCGCGACCTGTCGAAACCTGCAGACCTAAGAATCTGGGCCCCCCTACCTAGCCTCGAGCAGATTCTTGAGCAGCCCTGAACTGTGACTTATATTGGTAATAACGAAGAACCACAAATATAAATATATATATATATACATATGCTTAACCCAAGAGTCCGGATCCAGAGAGAAGGCCTCCACGGCATCCTCCTCGTCCCCGTTCGGCGCCTTCAGCAGCTCCTCCCGGAACTCGGGCTCATCGCCGTCCTCGTTTTCAGCTCCGAGGTCCAGGCATCCGAACCCTTCGAGCCTGCAAAAATCCCAAACTTAGCAGCCGATGACACACACACACACATAGGAACTCCTGTACCATGCATGCCCTGCCTCATGGCACAGCATCCACACGGTACGACTCAGTGCGCTGCACGCAGCTACGAAAGAGTAGGTGCGTGGTTTCTGCGCGCTTGCGTGTGCGCGTCTGTGTTCGGCCCCTTGCTTCTTGTCTCGTCCCTTCTGTCCACTCCATCATGCGCAGTGGGACAGACGGGATATAGACAGGCTCTGTCCAAGGAACCCAGGTACATGTACCTGCACCTTTCCCCCGCCTTTATTTGTGGGCCCTAAGCCTATCTTGCTGCTGCCTGGCACTGCACCATCGCCAAGGTAGCACATCATTCTATCTTTCCTCTTCATGCCATTGGAATCTGGGCTTAGGACACAAACCCCCTAGCCATCCTGTCATGTCTTGTCGTGCATGCCATTCATGGTGTCTGGCCTTACTTCCTTACTTACTTACCTACCTACCTACGTACCTACCTACCTACCTACCTACCTACCTACCTACCTACCTACCTACCTACCTACCTCTCTTCCTTCCTTAATTGCTTGCTCCCTTGCTTACAACACATTACATGACGTCACTTTACTTTGAGGTACAGTGCATTGCAGCAGTGCATACGCTTCCATACACTTACTGTCACTTACATACACTTACTTTTCAGCACTTGCACTGGAACGACGGCGAGGGCTACAAGGGACTAAGTTCTTGCACACACACACACTTACATACACATACCTGAATATACGTAGGCATATACACAAACAAATACACACGCATACATACATACATACATACATACATACATACATACATAGATACATACATATGTACATAAACACAATGAACACATACATACATACATACATACCTACCTACCTACCTACCTACCTACATACATACATACATACATACATACACTTACTTATCTCCTTGCATACACGCCTTACCTGTTTAGCTTGATCCCCGTCTTACTTGAAAACGATTTGCCACAACACTCCTGAAATGCACTGTCCAAAAGTAAATCTCTCCGTACAGGAACCAAGATCGCATAACAGTATGCTGTACAGGTCTCGGTATCACTGTTTCCGTCATGTCTCGCTCTCGCTCCCTCTCCCTCTCTCTCTCTTTTCTTTTGTTTTGTTATGCTGGGCGCAAGGGTCGCCAGGCGACCGTCTCTCTCTCTCTCTCTCTCCCACTTGCACACGTCCAGTCTGCCCGCTTTCTCTCTGTCTCTCTCTCCCCATCTCTCTCACAGCCCTCACAATGCGCGGATCCTCTGTCAAGCTGTCGATTTGTAGCTTCGACGAGAGTCCTTAAGGGCAAGAAACAGAAGTTGGCCAGCTTGTCTTCATTCCTCTTGTGTTTTTCCGGAATTAGGTTATGCAGCACTGCTTCAGCTGTGGAAAGGAAACCTTCAGCCTGCAAATTTATAGGTCCTACGGAGGCCAGTCGTTTCGGGAACCTCATTCTCGCAATGTCCTAAGGTCCTATGTCATTGCCGAGCTGTCCGTGCCGTCATCTTTGCTACCGTTTCACCACTGGTGCGGTTGAATCCTTGTTGTTTGTGATGTTGACGGCCACTTGCTACAATTTCATTGCTAACACTATCCAGAACTGCTCGTGACGATGCTATCGACACTGCTGCTACCGCTGCTAGCGTACACCGTAATGCAAGTCAGGCAAGTATTTAACGCATTCCTGTATTGGATGCACCACCTGATTCTACTCGTGCACTAATCACATGAGCCGCCTGTATCACATGATTTGCTTGAACTCTCAATAGCAACGATGCCGTGCTTTCTGTTGCTGCTGTCGGCTGTGGGTGCTCCCTAGGACTCTATAGGGGTTGATGACCTAGTAGGTATCATCCTGTAATTTCCCCATAGAGGCCCCGGAAAACCTGCGGCTCTTGTTGGTGAGCTTGGTTGGTGGGCTTGCTGGTGGGGCGGAGGTTTTTGCTCATGGTGTCGATGATGGTTGTCTTGCTCTTGCTTGGTTCTTTTCCGCTCTATATTGTTACTACGATGCTTGTGACTGCTTGAAGTAATCTTACTATCATAAGAATACTACTGGTGATAGTTGAGCCTGCTACACCATGCTTTACTACCACAAACACTCGTGCTGCGGTTTCTGTTGCTTCAGAGCTGGTGACTGTTCACACAGCGAAATGAACTGCATTTGTTGTCGACACTCCGGGCGTTTCGGTTCATACCAATACCAGTCAATGGCTCGAAGACTGTAGGTGGGTGCCGCAATGTGTGTGTTCATTTCTGCGTCTGCTGCTTCTTCTCGCTGCTCCGGGGGTGTAATTCTTATTAGATTCTTGTTGGCAGCAAAACTGGGCCCTAACTTCTTATGAAGTCTCAGAGTCTCACAGCAGCATGTCCAGGGCGGCGTCTCGATTCAGAATGGTTTAGCTTATCTGATCTCTTTCGCTGAGGAGCCCTCGGGCGTCTCATGCCCCAGTCGGCCTCCACAAGTCTCGGCGTGAGACTCCAACGCAATTTCATCGCACCTGGGCCCAAAAATGTGATGCTCTGCCACACAATCCGCGCAACCCCTTTCTCGCACTGCGGATTGGTTGGCAGCTGCGGTGAACTAACAGCTGCCGATGCTATGCTGCTATGGCTGCAACCAGTGGCAATCTGCAAAAAGCGCAACATCGAGGTGACAAAACACGGAGATAATCCAATCGCGAAGTGGCGACTTGATAGAGAGTGTCGGATGCACACCTTGATTATGCCGCCACGATCGCGAATCATGTATGGCCGTCGGTAACACGGCAGGGTACTGTGGACATGAGCAATCGAGGGCAGCACTGTACCGCAGCCTTTGTCTTATAGTGGTGATAGCATTGGCCGTGGGAAAGTAGAAGCAGCAATAGACACGTCAACAACCTGCTTTTACACTAGTAGAAGCAATCGTTGCTGTTGTGGTCGTCGTGGCAATACTTGTTCTAGCCGTTGCTGCCTTCCTGACGGTGATGGCGGTAGTAGTCCTCGTCGTGGTCGTACTTCTGGGCGACGAGGAAGAGGAGGAGAAGCCGCAGAACTAGTGCAGTAGTTGTTGTCGTCGTCGTCGTAGGAGGAGGAGGAGGAGGAGGAGGAGAGCAGTTTCGGAAGCAGTGGCAATAGCAAGAGCAGCCTAGTTGCTGTTGTAGTTGCAGTTGCAGTAGTAGTCGTCCTCGTCGTAGGGGTAGTGGTAGTGGCAGTGGTGGTGGTAGTGGTAGTAGTGGTAGCAGTGGTACTAGTAGTACTAGTAGTACTAGTACTAGTAGTACTAGTACTACTAGTAGTAATGGCAGTAGTAATGGTAGTAGTAGTAGTAGTAGTAGTAGCAGTTAGAGTGGTAGGAGTAGCAGCAGTGGTGGAAGCAGCAGCAGCAGCACCAGCAGCCCAGCGTCTAGCCGCAGCAGCAGAGGCTCTTGCTGTTGTTGCTGTTGTCGTTGTTGTTGTTGCTGGTGTGGCTGGTGTTGCTGTTGATGTCGTTGCTGATGTGGTCGCATTCGCAACTGCTTTTCGAAATCACTGCTGCATTTGTTGTTTGTACTCTCACTTTCCTTCGCCAGGGCTGGGGTGGGGGTAGCCCTGCCTGAACTGGGTGCCAGAAAGTTGCATGACAGGAAAGAGGACAAAGTGCTATTCCAGGAAGACCGGAGCAAAACGTCAACGACCACTACGTCAGGTTTGCTGCAGGACACATCTCTATTGCAAAGTTTCATGTGGCCCCCGGGTGCCACGAGAAGGCCGGCTTTGAAGCCAAACCAGGCATCAGTTGGGAGTCTCCACTCCTCTGAGAAGCACGGATAAGAAGTCAGCGTGCCCGATACTCTCTCTCTCTCTCTCTCCCGGGCGTGGGGACGTGTCACCGTGCCCGGGCAAAGTGCCCACCCGATCTTTTTCTCTCTCTCTCTCTTCTTCTTCTTCCTTCGGGTGAGAGGAGCTTGTCAGGCTCCCCGGCCCATAGGGCCCCCCAACGTTCTGGGTCTCTCTCTCTCTCTCTCTCTCTCTCTCTGTTTGCTTGCTTGCTTGTTGCTTGCTTGCGAGGGGTGTGGGTCCCCGGAGAAACCCTGCTCTCTCTCTGTCTCTCTCTCTCTCTCTCTCTCTTCTTCTTCTTCTCCAGGGCATGGGGAGTCGGTTAGACCCCCCGGCCTTTTAGGCCCCCCAAATTTCCTGGGGTTTTCAGGGGGTTGTGAAAAGGATGCATGTAGGTCGAAGTTGTTGTCCCCCGACCCACATGAGCAGTGCTTTCTTTGGGACACCCATTGTGGCCTACCGAGGGATCACTGTAAGTAAGTTCCGATTCCCATCCCACTGTAAAAACAACACAGAACGACAACACGTTTTCCCCCGGTAGTTCAGACTTGCCGGCTTTGGCATACAAAGTTTTCGAGGGGGCCAAGCAGTACTGAAGTAGCCTTGGACCTATGAAACGTCTCGACACAGGTTACTTGCTTAGCAAACGAGTACTTGCAAATGCCTGTATATGAGAGAGTCAGGGGCTCTGTTGCGAGGATTTCTCTCTCTCTCTCTCTCTTTTTGTCTTTCGTTAGGGCTGTGGGCTAGGGGAGCTCCCCTAACCCGCGCGCTGTCGCGCCCCCAACCGTTGTGGAGGGGCTGGAGACACACAACTGCACCACCAAGGCATCAGGCATTAATTAGGCCAAGGAGACTACATTGCAGTAAAGCAGGAAGGGAAGTAATTGCTGATGCCATGCGTGAGTGGTGTATAGAAAGCTCATGCTCTGCCGAGGGAACTGGAAGCAAAACTCGGAACCAAAAAGTAAGAACCAACTAAAAAAGGTTTAAGGGTTGTCCCCTGCGAGCTGCAAAAGGTACTGAGCACGTGGCTTTGAATTTAGTGGCGGTAAGTTCGAAAGGAATGGCTCCGGCGGCCCGTCTTATGGTACACGGAATAAAATAATCCGGGGGATTACTCCCCAAGATCGCAAAGAAAAGTATGGAGCGAAAAGTCTGTATGGAGGCGAAGTATTGACAACTACGGCTTGCACGCCACTGTGCTCTTATGGGAGCATGTACAACCAGCGGAGCTGAAAATGGGAAGCTCCCCTAAAAACTCTCTCTCCCTCTCTCTCCAGCTTGCTTGCTTGCTTGATTTTGGGTTTGGGTTCCAGCACCCCGGCACGACGTCCAACCCCCTCGCGGCGAGCGTCTGTTTGATCTCTTTGCTTTGCCTCTCTTTTTCTTTCGCCAGGGCTGTGGGCAGGAGTGCTACTCCTGCCTCTCTCTCTCTCTCCCTCCCGGGCATGAGGATCGGTTAAGACCCCCGGGGCACCTAGCCCACCCGCAACTATTTTGCGGGAACGGAGGTGTGAGGAACGAGCATAGGTCGCCTGAAGGCTAAAGCTCCAATAACCGTTACGATAACGAAGACAGGTGACTGTTTGCTGTCTCAGAAACATGCATTAGGCACAATATGCTTCCCCCACGACCAAGAAAAGCTAACATAGCAAAGACGTGCCAAATGCTGAAGTCATATGTGACAGGCTGGCGTGGACATTGCTGCGCGCGTAAGTTCGGGCCAAGGCACGCGAGCCGTCTGCGGCGGCGATGGCCTTAGCATCGGCCTCTTTGGCGGATGATCGCCAACCTGAGCTCCAACAGTCGGAAAAACTGCTTGACAGAGACAGAATCGGAAATTGGCCAGATTGGCATGCCCTGCCCATTTTTGGAGGCAAGCCACCCCGGGGACGGAGAGTCTGTGCATCACAGGTGGTCCACCAACACTCCTAATTACAGTTCAGGCCGGCTGCCATGCCATTAGAATCACAAATGTTGAGAATGCCTGTCAGCGGTCTCTCTGTCCTTCCAGAAAGAGTTCGTCCTGCTGGCGGTCCTATGGCGTAGTCTTCATCAACGTCGTGTGGATGTGTCTCCTCGTCGCCTGTCGAAAAGAGGCAAACAGCTGACGACCCCTCGGTTGAGAGAAAGGAGAGAGAGAGAGAGAGAGAGAGAGAGACAGAGACAGAGAGACAGAGAGAGAGCGAGAGCGAGAGCGAGCCGCAGAACCAGTCCCAGTGGCTGGTTGCCAGCAGCTCGCGCATTGCCACAGCACTCGCGTTGCTTGTTAGACTCCTCGGTGTCACGGAAGGGGCATGACCAGCCCTGAATTACACATCGAGCTACACATTAGCCCTCTGTGTGCAAGTCCGGGCTGCATCACGGAGCCACTTCGGCCACGGGAAGAGCGCCGCGAGGCACTGGACATCACTCCGGACCTGACCGGCGTGAAAAAGCCAATTGTTAAATCCTTCCCCCCGGCGCTTTGCATGCTGCCTCCAAGATTGCCAGGAGGCGGTGTCGTCGAAGTCCTCCTCCTGAGGCTGCCCTTCCTTGGAATGACGGGTCGACGGCTGAGCCACTCTCCGGTGTCGCTGATCTGCCCCGCCTGCCCTTCGCCAAGCGTGGCCTTCCTCACAAGCCGCCGGCGCCGGCCGTCCTCTGTCCGCTCCTGCGTGAAGTGGCACGTGCCGAAGAGGTCGCGATTCACCTCTGCATGAACGGGGCTTCCTTGCCACAGCTCACGGCCAAGCCTTCTCGACAAATTCGTGCAAAGGGAGCTTTTATGCAGGGTGAGGGCCTGATCTGCTGCCACCTTTGCTCCAATCACCGGAGCCTGCTGTGAATGGGACCACCAACTCATCTGGCCCCTCGCAGCAGCTCGCTTCAAGATGCGCATGCATGGGACAGCCTTACTTCAATTCACACAAGCCGCACGGCAGTCTTTTTTCGACATCAATCCACCCCTTCAACCTGCATCTCAGCTTTCGCACTTAGACCCTCCCGCTTCGTCTCGACCAAGAGGTCTTCATCCTCTATGTCGACGATCACAGGTGCTATTGCTTTCTTGGCGCTTGGTCGAACTGACAAGGTCTCGCACCATTTTGTCTGACTTTCCATGTAATGCAGGTCCCGCACATGGGCCAAGGACAGAGATGTGGTGGAGTGCCAGGTGGCACCACTTCTCCTGTCAGACTTGACCTTACAGAATCGATCAGCAAGTCCGTAGATATGGTACTGGGGGCAGAGCTTGGCGGCGAGCCTGGAGACAGCAGGACTCGAGCAAGTCTTTTTGACAACTGGGGTTACCCAGGCTTTGGCATGCGATGACCACACCTTGTCAGGCCATTCGGAGGTCAACAAAATGTCGATGCTCTCCCCTCTCCGATGCATCATGAAAGCTTGTTTCTCGATCTTGTCCAATGCCGCCGAAGTGTAATGAGGACCGTCAAAAAGTCCACGACCCCATTTCTGTCTGAACACCTCTGCGTCGTAACTGCCCGAAAGGTAGGCAATCCGCAATCCTGCCACTTCCGTTATCCCACAAGACCCCAAGAACGTCAGGTTCGGCTGCAGGAGAACAGGCTTCTTATCTTGCTCAGCCTTCTTTATGAATACCTCAGACGCACTGTCGATAAAGTACACGGGCACCGGCAGGACACGAGCCGCAGCTGAACCCACATAATCCGAAATCCGGCTGCACATCTCATTTGGTGGCAAGAACTGTCCCACCGCAAGGACTAGATCTACCTCTCTCTTCAACTCGATCAACTTCGCGTGCAACAAGTCCAGGCGGCCGTACATGTCCCCACAAACCAATACGCTTCGTGGTTCCTTCTCGGAGGTTACCATTTTTAAGTGGTCTATTGCCTCACTTGGGGGTGGTAAAAACGGCGTGTGCGCGCTGATGCCAGCTGCCGACCCTCCTTCGAGGAAGGGCGTGTCCGCAGCCAGTCGCAGCCGCTTTATCGCAGGTGTTTCTGCTTTCACATCCATGTCAGCCATGGCGTCACATGGGATGTAGAAGAACTCAAGCAAAACGATCACTATAATGGGACTGGAGTCAAGAGGCTCGAAACATGCCTTGGGGTGTTTTGTGCGGCCCAAGCAGTGAAAAGTGGGGATGTCAAGACAGTTGTGCGATTCTCGAGGGGGCGTCCGCTGATTGATGTACAAGAAATATCTCTATCGAGACATCAAAGCCGTGTGACTCTAAACGTTTGTGCATGGCGGCAGTCTGCCAACGAAAGCAAAACCAGGATCACGAGTCTGCACAGAAAGATTCACAAATGGAAGGGTCGGCCGGTCGAGCCTGGCATGCTCGCCCATTTCAGAAGTCATTCCGCCTGCACTCCATCGCGAGTTGCTGAGCAAGCACTTATGCCTTAGACTCAGCTGAGGCTGGGTGCTGGTGCCGGGCCTCCTACACTGTCGATGCGAAACTTCTTGCCACCAGAGTTCTGACGGACGAAGCCTCGTTCAGATTGCACGAGGCATGGATTGAGGTGCAAGGACAACGCGGTAAACCCCATGAACCCAAAAAGGCCATAAACCTGAACCCTAGACTGCAGGCGGATCACGACGGCACGTGCGGACAGGCTTAGGGTGTTTGCGGCTTCGGCTCTTCTTTAAGGCTTTAAGGGCTTCGGGCACTTGAGCTTTAAGGACTTGTTAAGGAGTTTACTTCTCAAGTTAGGGTAAAGTGATCTATGGTGGTTGCTTATGATGGCACTATGGTAGCATAAACAAGAGATTCCCCTAGCAGTTTAACACCCAGGGGGTTTAGGGTTTTTTCTATGGTAGTTGCTGATGATGGCACTATGGTAGCATAAACAAGAGATTCCCCCTAGCAGTTTAACACCCAGGGGTTTCGACTCTCACACTCGCACCAGGCAGGCAAGGCGCAACCTTGCCACCCAGGGGTTTAGGGGTTTAGGGTTTTTTCTATGGTAGTTGCTGATGATGGCACTATGGTAGCATAAACAAGAGATTCCCCCTAGCAGTTTAACACCCAGGGGTTTAGGGTTTTTTCTATGGTAGTTGCTGATGATGGCACTATGGTAGCATAAACAAGAGATTCCCCCTAGCAGTTTAACACCCAGGCTGTTTAGGGGTTTAGGATTTAGGGCCCTTTCTATCTTATGATGGCACTATGGTAGCAAAAATAACGAGAGATTTCCCCGTAGCAGTTCGAAAAGAAGAGCCCGGTCATCTGCCAGGCGGCTGCGAATCTGTCCCGTCACCATCCTTTCAGGCCCAGGCCTGGAGCAACGACAGAAGCGAAGCAGGAGTTTAGGGTTTAGGGCTTCGGGTTTCGGGTTTAGGGTTTAGGATTTAGGGTTTAGTGTTTATAGGGTATAGGATTTAGGGTTTAGGAATTAGGGTTTAAGGGTCTTTCGTCGGGTTTGGATGTTGGGGTTGGCAGGGTTGCATGGGGGATTTCGGGCTTATCCGATTCAAAGGAAATGGAGCAAGTCCCAAGAACCGTCAGAATCCCACCCACCTGGCAGGCTCTGAGTTGAGCAGAACATTGCTGGGAGGCTGCGCGTCAAAGGCAGACCTGGTCGAGGATACTCTTGCTGACATATCTCGGAATGTGGCTCCACTCAAGAGCAAGGAACGGGGAGTATGGCTCAGAATCATCAGGAACTTCAAGCGGAACTTGCTCGCATTCAGACAACCTTAGCATCAAGACGAATACACTCTCGAGACGAGCTGCCGACGTTGCATGACCGGGAGTGTACAACGACGAACGAAATGCTGAGTGGAAAACTCCAAGGTTTGCCAAATCGTATGGCTCAGATCCAGTACATCCAACAGCTGCCTTGCAGTGCATGCGAAGGCGGTGGCTGCTGTCTCAGACGTCAGGCCCTGCCTGACGGGTTTGATTTGGAGAGAGCTCCTGAGGGCATCTTGTGCAAAAAGTTGCCGCATGCGGCCAAAATACATCCGATTGCATGCAGCTAGCGGCTAGCTCAAGCTTCGCCAAGCGTCTTCGTAGTGCCACTGACCACGACATAACGTCGGCGGAACACCAACGGCTCGCTTCGAACGGCAGAGTTTGAAAAGCAGGACTGCCAGGTGGTGCCTCAGAGGAGTTCCACATTAAGGACTACCCCAAAACCGCACAAAAGGCCCAACCCGAACCACTTTGCTCTTGCCCTCACTCTGCGCATGTCTCCTTCCGAAGCTGAGGCTCCACTCGGATCTGGCGGAGTCCCTTCGAAGCTGTGCAAAGATATTTCCTGCAGCTCTCTGGTCACGACCAAATTCCCAGCAAGTGCCCGGGCGAATGTGCACGGGACCGTCGCATGCCAGGGAAGGCCATATTGGATCTCATCTTACACACTCTGCATCATCATCATCGCTGAACAGTCAAGCGCTAGCACGTACACACTACAAAACGATACAGAACGCCATGGCATGGGCAGCCATGGGATCACCAAGACTTGCCAAAGGAAGACGTACATATTCCACAGGGCTTACTGCTGCGAGTCAGTGCAGCTGGTGTCGAGCCCGAGCCGATGCTGAGAATGGATTCCTCATCGATTGGGCCGCCCTTTCCCCACAAACCCGGTTTCAACCCAAATCCTCTTTCCAGGCCCATTGCGACGGCCAGGCCTAATTTCAACCCAAATCCTAAAACCCTTTTTGCGTCCAGGCCTATTGCCACAGCCGGACATCCCAAACTCCCAAAACCCCTCACAGCCACTGCAGGGATGGCCTGATGCATGCTCTCATCTTGCGGGACCTGACACTTCGTTTGGTGCTTTTTTTTTTTTTTTGGGGGG